GCACGAGTGCCGGGCGGTGGCGCTGAGGGGGCTCTGCTGTTTTGGGGACACTTTGTGTGTGTCCCCTGGGTGGGGTGGGTGCATGAGGGGCTGGGGGTCCCCAATTCCCAGTGCCTTGTCCTTGATCCCCAGTGCCTGGTCCTGGTCCCCAGTCCCCGTCCCTTTTCCCCCGCCCCCGACCCTTTTTTTTGGTCCTCTGTCCCCCATTCCTGACCCCAGGACCCCAAACCCCAGCACTTGTCCCCAGTCCTGCGTCCCCAAACCCCTTCTCTTATCCCCAGTCGCTTGTCCCCAGTCTCAGGTCACCAAACCTCATTCCTTGTCCCCAACCTTAGCCCTGTTCCCAGTCCTGGGTCCCCAAACCCAAATCCCTTGTCCCCAATCTCAGGTTCCCAAAACCCATCCTTTGGCCCCAGCCCTGTCCCCAGTCCTGGATCCCCAAACCTCAATCCCTTATTCCCAAAACTTGGTCCTCAAACCCCAGTCCCCAAACCCCAGCTCTTGACCCCAGTCCCAATGCGCTGCTGTCCCCATTTCTGCCCCCAGCGGGTGTCCCCTCAGCCCCTGCCTCAGTTTCCCCAGCCCCTTTGTCACTGCCAGACCCCGTCCCATGGAGCCAGGCACTGGGGACACCCCCATCACCTGGGATCTGGCTCCCCCTGCTCGCACGGTGGAGGGGACAGTTTGGGGAGGAGGGGGCACTTGGCACCGTCCCCGCACCCCTGTCCCCTCCCTGGGGGTGGCAGGGCACGGGTCCTGCTGTGGGACACACACAGGGACAGCAGGGGACAGGATCAGGCCCCGTGTGGGGAGTGGGGACACCGGGTCCCCATCTCCCGGTCCCCACGGCTCCCAGGGACCACGGTGGCCTCTGGTGCCAGCCCCGTGTCCTGCCAGGGACCTGCCTGGCCCCGGTGGCCCTGTGCCAGGGACGGACGTGGCCGTGTCACCGCAGCCTTGGGGACAGACGTGTCCCCAAGCGATGCCACCTCCTGGTGACAGACGTGTCCCCATCCATACCCAGGTCTGGGGTGCCATGGCCCTGGGGACGGACTTGTCCCCATCCCCACATCTGGGGGTACAGTGGCGTTGGGGACAGACGTGTCCCCATGCCTGGGTCTGGGGGTGACATGGCGCTGGGGACAGATGTGTCCCCAAACCCACATCTGAGGGTGCCATAGCCCCGGGGACTGGTGTGTCCCCATCCGCAGGTTGGGGTGCAGTGGCCCTGGGGACAGATGTGTCCCCAGGTCTGGGGGTGCCATGGCACTGGAGACCGATGTGTCCCCAGTGTGTGGCACCGCGGCTCCCCCCCCAGCACCCAGGGTCAGCACCCCGGGG